AACACACTGCTAACCAAAATAATTACACGAACAGATCTTTGATCTTTGTATCTCCTACTGTGGTATCAGCAATTCTGGTGCGCAGTACAGCCTCTATCCATCTGCGCACCGGTGCTGCCGCATTCCTTTTTTCCAGTGCTCTGCCTACACTCCTGTGAGACGTGTTGTCAAAGGCACCTTCGACATCTAAGAAGGCTCAAAGCATCACATTCCCTGTCTCCAGAGAACTCTCTATCTCAGAGGTTAACAGAACTGGTCGATCTGCCTAGTCTGTATGCGTGCTGAGCAGCATGCAGCGGTGAAATTTTCAGCGCCTTCAACCTTATTTCATGGTCTACGATCGTTTCCATAGTTTTTAGTAAGAACGAAGTTAGACTAATTGGCCTGAAGGATTTAGCCAGTGAATAATCTTTCTTTCCTACTTTGGGTATGAAGATCACTCTAGAAGAGACTCACAGTAGTACGTCAGTGGTCTATCCACAGGCTTTGGGGGTTCTGTGGATGCCTCCCTGGAAAATAGGCTGATGCCAGGACGAAGTCTGTGCCTTCAAAGTTCCTGGATTGCACCGCCATCAGATCCTGCGTCTGGAATTCTCAAATGCAGAAGAAGCCAATATTGTTCTTGACTACTTTAAAAGTGCTAGGTCTCTAGCTGGAGAGATCCCGAATTACCTTGTTGAAGTCTGCTTTGAGGCCTCTAGCCTCTCCTCCATAAATCAGCAGGCTGCCCAGTTTCTCCGCAGTGAACCTGCTCGTTATGATGAGCCCAGGCTGCCGCCGCGTGTTGCTGGTTCACCTGGGAAACTTCCACTACATAATATGGGTTCGATGAGGAGCAAATCCGTCTCACGCACTGCCATCCACCGGGTCTCCTTGCCTGAGTGGAGGGTAGCTCCCCTCCTTGATCGCTGGTTCTCTCATCGGCGACTTCCAAATCAACAATCACATTCCAAACACGCGAAAGTCGCTACAGTCGCCACTTGTTCGGCCTTGCTTTTGCGGCGTAATTTGCTCGATCTTCCGCTTGACGGTTTGTGCGCGGATAGCCGAAGGCTGCCCTTTTGCCACCTCGTGTATGTAATAACTTACAACAAGACAGCATTCCATTGGTTAGAGCGAGAAAACCATTGAACATCAAATGGTGATGTGTTACCTTTTTCCCACTCTCTGAAAAAAAAGAACAAACAGTATAACGTTTGCGAAAGTGAACAATAACAAGTCGCTTACACTTTTGCTTAAAGATATTCGTATTCCATAAACCTTGTGGAGTCTCCACAGGAATTACGGAGCATCTTGGCCGGCTAAAGTTTATGGCAACTGTCAAATCTATTGCCATTGCCGTTGCCAAAACTGTATGTGGGCATTTGTTATCATAACATAGTCATTTGTGAAAAGGCATCGGGTAGATAGCTTCGAGCAGGTGTAGCGCATATTTTGAGCTCTTGAACTGTTTAAATTTTTATATAGATGCAAAAATTAATATGGTAAATAACAAAGAAGATACCTACTTGTTTCTACATATGTATTTCTTGAAAAAAAAAATCATAAATCATAAATTTTATATACCAATTATTATTATATCATAAAATAAATTTCAAACGAACAATGATATATTGATTTATGCTCGTATAAATTTACTAAATTTAAGACTACGCTCATTCGCCATTTTGTATAATTTTTTCCGCAAATTAACAACATAAGACGAAATATTATATTAATTTTTTGGAAAACTGGCACAATTCCGATTTCTTTGGCGCCGCGATTTGAAGGTACAGTTGGCAAGAGGAAGTCCACCTGTTTAAAAAATATATACGATTATAGGTATCGCAAACGTTTATTTTACGAGATAATCGACCTTAAATTTCAAAAATTCTCAAAATTCGAACATTTCAAGAAGCTAAACACACTTTACTTACATTTTACACTTCAAATTAATAAAACTTAATTATAAACTTTTAAATAAATCCACATTTTACACTTCTAAAAGGTTTTTTACGTAAGCAATCTTTATATTACAATTTACATTTCACACACTTTGTGAACATCATTTGTGTACTAAAAATTACGACGAAATAGAGCGCTGCCATTTGTTAATAATTAAATTCGCCGAAATTCCCAAAAAAATTTTCCCAAAAATGCCTCTATTCATGCCTAATTATATTATACATTCCTAAAATACAAAAACAACTTATTATCAAAAATAAATGGAAATCGCTGACAGATATAATAACCAAAATTTAACCATTTTATGACGAAAACTCAAATTTTGTTTCAATATAAGTGCATAAAAACCAAAAAATATAACCACTTTATAACGAAAACTCATTATCTTTTTTTATTTTTAACGCAGAAAGGATTACTATGAGAAAGTACTTCAGTCACCCCGAGTATTCGCTCGGCTAAGGTTATTGTTTTAAACCGCCAAGGAAGAAAAGGGTAATACGTGAAAGTACTTCAATCACCCCGAGTATTTGCTCGACCACGGTTTTTTTTTGTCAGAGTGGTTGTCGTTAAAAATCCAACATAATTGCTATTTAAGATGTGGCAACGCTCGTTTTTCTCATAATTGTAAAAAATTAAAGAAAGAATCGTTAGAAGGTCCCCTATCCGTACATACTTATACAGAAATTCGACTTTTTTACCTTTTTTATATCATTTTGAAAATGGTTTGTGCTTTACTAAATTTAAAATTACCAAAATGAAACTGCCGTCGTTATATGTGTAAATGGGATGAGTTGCTTTTCCGAAATTTTCGTAGAAATGAAAACTGTTCTGTCAAACTCCTAAAGTGACACTTCAATGCTTCAAAAGATGGCATACTATTTGATATTCAATATATTGCATTTCATAAGCATTATGGAATCTCCTCAGACAATACGGTTAGCAATCAAATAGTATACCATAAAATTTTGCTTATCGAGATTCCCCGTATACTTTATCCAATGATAGTGCGCTTTACAGTACACTAAGGTTAATGTACCTAGTTGGCTTTTGATTTTATTGATACTGTATTCTGTCGTAAACCGTTTAACAAAATTTGTTGGAGGATTTATCTTTTTCCTTAGTTATATTAAAGATTATTACAAAAGTATCTATATTGTAATATTGAAATTTGATTTCATCATAGAGGGCAACTTGAAGTTTTGAGAATGGCGTCTGGTGACGCATTTTCCGGCCAGAACATACAACTCTCTCCTTTACGAAGTTTGGATGACTTTATATTAGGGTCTGCTCGTTTTCAAATCCCAAATTTAAAAGATGTGGAGAAGTGGGGCAATCGTGTAGTAAAAAACTTACTATATTATCAAACAAACTATTTTCTCCTATTTTTGGTTATTTATGGTTTGATGATTCTATTAAACCCTCATAAAATTGTTTGCGGAGTTACGGTACAAGCTCTAATAACAGTGGTTTTCTTCGGATTTTTCTTAAAGAAGCCTAAATCAAAATTTAAGCTTTTTGCCAATTGGTCAAGTATTATCCAAGAAAATCCACAGCAGAAATGGTATTTACTTGCTGGTGTTGTTTTGTGTGGCTATCTCATATTGCGCTGGTTGAATGCAATTTTATTGTCAAGTTTTACTCTACTTCTTCCCCTATCATGTAAGTATTATTTAGTTATTGAAGAAACAAGTTTTTAAACCCTGAACAAGTTATATTAAGTTTGCACGATTCTGATGACTTTGGCTGTGGAGTAAAAAGAACTAATTTCGGTATAAGTGATGTGTATAAGGGATATACTATGTATATATAATATGTGATTTATTTTAAAAATACTAAAGTAAAACTATGATAATATGGCTACGAATTAGAATAGCATCCCGGAATTTGGGGTTAAAATGGGTATGACGGATAGAGGAGGTCCTCTAGATTAAGAAAATATGTATATAGTTGCCACTGATTTATGGTTTTTGAGATATTTGCATTTCAAGTTCAAAAATCAACTATTTAAAATGCGTGTTTTTCCCATTTATAATGAATTTTATGGTTATATTTTTAACTTTTATATCCACTAACACTTCACTAAATCTTTTCTAACCATTTATTTTACATTAGTGCAAAAATAACTAATTCCATATAAAACTTTAGTTAGAATCCATTTATTCATAAAATAAAAAAGTGGCTATAAACAAGCAATAAACTAGTGTTACCATATTTTGTAATGACGTAAAAATAAGGAAGAAGATTATGACGTCATAACTAAGTTCATTGTCGTGTAATGAGTAATAAAGATCTTTTGGGATTCTCATTATCTTCTAATTATTTATTTTTTTATTAATTTGTGCAAAAAATGCTTTCCTTCAATATTTTACATTGGCTAGGATTTAGATAGCATCTCGGGGTTGAAATGTACGGATAGAGGAGATTCTCCAGTCTAAGAAAATATATGTTGTTAATAGTGATTTACGGTTTTTCAGATGTTTGCATTTAAGGTTCAAAAGGTGTGTCCATTGAATTTGTAATGAATTTTACACATATATTTTTATATAATTCGGGTCTACACATTTCTTTTGCATTAAATAGTACAAAACCTGCTTTAATTTCATTTTAAGGGTCCGTAGGTTAATCTTTTGTCAAAATCTTTGATTCGTTGTTCCCTTATGCCCTTAGAATTAATGTAGAATTCCATTTTACCATTTTAAGGTTTTGAAAAAGACCCAAAAATAATAATCAAAACACATTTTCACGAATATATATGGTTATAGGAAGGAAGCATTTTTTAAACTGAGGGGAATGATTCCGGTCGAACTACTCAACCGGTTTGCTTAATTGTTTTTTTTTTTTTATAAATATTCGCAAAACGTCTGGCTATCATCCCTGTATTTTTCATAATTTATTGACAATGTTATGACAAAATTTATGTAAAAGAAAAACATGGGGAAAAGTTATGTCATGATTCTAGTAGGGACGATAACCATTAACGTAACAGCTCATTTGAATATTGGTTTTGCGAATGTTGGAAGGACGAAAAGGGAAGACTTTAGTATACCGTCCCAGGATTTCGAGAATAAAATGGGTATGGTCGAATAGAGGAGATTCTCCAGATCACGAATATATATGGTTATAGGAAGGAAGCAGGAAGCTTATAGCTTTCGAGATATTCGCGATTAAAGTTGAAATTTTGCAATATTTTAATTACATATTTCTGGTATTTAAAATTAATTTTTCACTTAAATTTTTTAAAGTTATATACACTAACACATCACTTATTCATTTGCACACATTTATTTTATATAATATAGTGCAAAAATTGCTTTTAATGTACATTTAAATTATTGTTGAAATATGATTATTTAAGAATAACAAATGAATTTAAAAGTCAAATAATCAGTGTTACCTTATCGACATCGTTTGTAAAATAACTAAATGAAATAAAGTGAACAGATTATACCCCAAATACGAGAATCAACAACCTATAAAAGAATAACTCTGGTCGGTCCAACACTGGGGTGGGTGGATGGTTCCTTTTTGCGTGGGCGGCCTTCGGCCGCGCTTCAAAAAAAAAAAAATAACTCTGG